GCCCAGTACCTATGATTGTGACTTTATTTGGGAACAGAATGGTCTTTGCAGAGGACCGAGTTAAGTTGAGGTCGCTAGGGCGGTCCCTAACGCAACATGACCGATGTCCTCCTCAAAAAGGGGGAAACTTGGGCACAGAGACAGACACACTTACAGGGATGCCCGTGTGAAGACACAGGGAGGAGACGGCCGTCTGCACACCAAGGGACGCCTGAGGCCACCAGCAGCAGGGGGACAGGCCTCGCACAGACTGTCCTCCCCAGCCCCAGGAGGGGCCAGCCCTGCCGGCATCCAGCCTCCAGGACTAAAAGCATCAGTGTCTGTTGTGTGGTGGACCCAACCTGAGGAGCTTTGTTCTGGGACCCTCAGGAAACTGACACGTTCACCAAATACGCTGGATGCGTTTTGGGGGTGTCGATCGCCGTGGCCACCACAGAAGACTGTATGGCTGTTCCTCAAAAAGTTAAAAAAGAGGAACCAGTTATTCCTTTGGTCCAGTAATTCATTCCTGGACACATGTCCAAAGGAAACAAAATCATGCTAAGAGATCCGTGCATCCCCGTGTTCTCGGCAGGATCGTTCCTAATAGGCAGGACGTGGGAACAGCCTAAGAGTCCGTCCACAAATGGGTAAAGAAATCGTGGTGTGCTTACAACGGACATTATTCCACTGTAAAAGGAAGAATGGCCAGCCGTTGACGACCCTGTGGCCAGATTCTGAGGGCATCGTAGTAAGTGAATAAGTCACACAGAGGAAGACCCATGTCCCAGAAACCGCTCTACCCAGGACAAGCCGGGACGGCTGGTGTATTCATTTCCTGGGGCTTCCAGAATAAATGACCAGAAATAGGCTGAATGAAACTGCAGAGATTTGTTCTCTCCATTCTGGAGTTTCTGGAGGGAAATCCCTCCTGCCTCCGCCAGCTTCTGGGGGCTCCGGGCATCCCTGGACGTGTGGCTTCACCCCTTCTAGCCTCCGCCTCTGTCTCCACCTGCTCTACGTGCGTTCAGTTTCTCTGTGTCACTCTTGCAAAGACGCCTGTCAGTGGATTTGGGGACCACTCTAAATCCAAGACGATCTCATCTGAAGATCCTTAATTATATCTGCACAGACCTCTATCCAACTAAGGTCACGTTCACAGGTTCCGGGTACAAGGGCACGAATCTAGCTTCCTGGGGGTCAGCAGACAAGGTGTCTGAGTTGCTACACATCCGGTCTCTGGGTTCTGTGTTGTTCTGACTTAATTTGTGAAAAAAATAAAGCATTTTCAAAAAAAGGGGGGGCAGGACAGCCACCTCCCTCAAGGCCAGAACTTTTGGGGAAACCGCAGGCCTGCGGGCGTGTGCATTCCGCGTCCCGCAACCCGGTCGCTAGGTCACCAGCTGGGGGCAGCTGAGGGGCGTGCAGCCGCCTCTGTCTGAATCCCACCCTCCCGGCTCCTCGGGCACCTGCCGTCCGGCATCCCGGCTGCCTGCGCTCTGGTGGCCATCTTGCCAGCTGCTCCCCCCCGCGCCTTGGCGAGGCTCCCCCACACGTCGCCTTGGCCTTCACCCCTGCCCCCACCAACACCGGCAAAAAAAAAGGCCACTTGTTCTGAAGTCATTTTGAGACAGGACGTTTTGAAGGCTGGTTTCTCCAGAGACCTTCCAATAAAAGCGAAATTGGGAGAAAACACCGAGGACCTGCTCGACCTGCCCGCCCTGAATTAGCCGGCGCGCCCCAGCAGGACTTTTCGTGGGTGCAGGGGAGTCGGCACCATGACCAGGGAGGAGCGTGACAGAGGCGGTGACGGCTTTAGAAAATGTTAACACGGAAGCTCCCGCTACGTGTTCAAACAATCCGCCGCCCTCCTCGACGCTGCGCAAGATACGCAGCGCGTCCACGGGCTCCAAGCTGTTTCCTGTGCGCGCTGAGGCCATCATCAGCTGCGCGGGAAAGGTCGAGAGACCTGCAGGGCGGTCCGCAGCCCTGCCCGGCTGATGATCCGGAGTTTCTGAATCTGAGACGCTGGGCCCGGCCGGAAGCCGCAGCTCCTTGGCTCTGAAGAACGAGGACGTCTGCCCGCGGTGCCGCCGAATGAGAATGCGGCTCCCCAGGCCCAGCGGGACCGCCCGCACTGACCGCACGTCCCCCCTTCGGGGTGCGCTGGGGCTCTCTCTGCTCACTGCCTTCGATCCTTGTGGCTGTGTTCGAATATGACCGCTTTTCCCTACACGTTTCGTGTGGTTGAATGCTTTCCACCAACCTCAATAAGACCTAAAAACATTAGGAATGGTAATAAGTGAAGGCGTGCATCCCTCCCCGACGCAGGCCGGTGAGTTTGGGGACGGGCCCATCCCCAGGCCGGCCTCTGACCGGATGCCAGCCCCGACCAACGCCCTGCTTTCTGTCTGTGGGAGGCTGGGCAGAAGAGCCAGCAAGGTCACGGGCAGATGAACTGCTGACCCACAGACACCACGGACGGTAAATGCGTGCGCTTTAAGAGGTGAG